GAGATCGACCAACGAATCTCTTCTTCATGCACTTTCATACGAAATGAAGGTCCCTCTAACAATGCTTTTACACTGTCTGCTACAGGCTTGCATATGTGAAAAATTCACTTTAATTATCTTTCCAGCTGTAACCCGATTTGCACTCTGTTGATAGCACTTGGTATTTGTCATCCCCTCGAATTCGGTTGCTCCGTTCCGTCGAAGTTCCGGTTTTCTGACTACATATTCTCATACTTGGGGTCGAGCCCTTATGCATTCGTCAAAACTCAATCGAATGCTTTTCTTAATGAGACTGACTAAACCTTATTGCAAAAGACGGAGAAGTTGAACAGTAGAATCATCCGGTTGATCGTATGATGCAGTCTCAGAGTAACTTGAGATATATTCATCCAATTTTATTTAAGTTGATGAAGGACTGGTAGAAGAAGAATTTTTCCACAATGATATGAGTTGAGTCACGGTTCAGCTCCCGCTGAGGGTGTTGATAAGACCGATGTGAGGTCGAAACTGCAGTCCACTCCAACCGGGATGAGAACAACTTTTTGTAAAGTAATGCTATGGGAAATTGAATGGAAACGACAGCTTCATTCATACGATTATGGGAAAATTCTTCTTCTACCAGTCCTTCATCACCTTAAACGAAATTGGGGAAATACATCTCATACTACTGATTTACTGGTAGGCACGAATAACAATGCTTTATTCGAAAAATATTGTTTTCGTAACCAACAGTAAATCAGTAATATGAGATGTATTCACACAATTACGTTTAGGTGATGAAGGACTGGTAGAAGAAGAATTTTCCCACAATGATATGAGTTGAGTCACGGTTCGAGTCCTGCTGAGGGTGTTGATAAGACCGATGCGAGGTCGAAACTGCAGTCCACTCCAGCTGAGATGAGTACAACTTTTGGGAAAGCAAGGCTATGTGAGAATTAATGGAAACGTCAGCTCAACTTATATCATTGTGAGAAAATTCTTCTTCTACCTGTCCTTCATCACCTTAAACGAAATTGGGTGAATACATGTCATACTACTGATTTACTGTTAGTCATGAAAACAATATTTAGTCTTAAATTAAACAGCAAAATCATCAAGCTGATCACTACTTAGCAGGCCTATTGCCTTAACTCACAACTGACCACCTCGTTTACTGTCGTGCAGTCAACCTGCATCCATTCATCCGTCACCGCATTTTGTGTACGGGGCTGCTCTTCAGTCAAGCGACTAAGCCAAGCCAAGCCTTTTTATGTGAGATTTGCTCTCTCTGAAGTATCATATGCGATAGGATTAGATAGTTCTACAAGAAAATAGATGAAAATGATCCATTTTTGTGATTGGGACACAGATTGTTAAACGTAAGTGAGTG